ATTCAAAGTGAACTAAGGTTTCGAAACTGGATTTGATCACCAGCAGTTTCCTGTATTCAAAGTGAACTAAGGTTTCAAAACTGGATTTGGTCACCAGCAGTTTTTTATATTCAAAGTAAACTAAGGTTTCGAAACTGGATTTGATCACCAGCAGTTTCCTGTATTCAAAGTGAACTAAGGTTTCGAAACTGGATTTGATCACCAGCAGTTTCTTTAGTTCAAAGTGAACTAAAGTTTCAAAACTGGATTTGGTCACCAGCAGTTTCTTATATTCAAAGTGAACTAAGGTTTTGAAACTGGATTTGATCACCAGCAGTTTCCTGTATTCAAAGTGAACTAAGGTTTCGAAACTGGATTTGATCACCAGCAGTTTTTTATATTCAAAGTGGACTAAGGTTTCAAAACTGGATTTGGTCACCAGTAGTTTCTTATATTCAAAGTGAACTAAGGTTTTGAAACTGGATTTGATCACCAGCAGTTTCCTGTATTCAAAGTGAACTAAAGTTTCAAAACTGGATTTGATCATCATCGGTTTTTCATTCTTGATGATACTGAGGCCCTTGCAGCCATTGTTTATCTGTAGTTAATGTTTTCGAGGATATGAGAAATTTCATAGATAGCTTTTAAACTACACTGTTCATATTATTGTTTTCTTGGAAGTTCAATGTGAAAAAAAAGGTCAAAGGAGAAGTCCTAATTTTATTCGTATGAATTTAACCATTAAAGAAATGCGACATAACGATCGATTCAATAAACGTAGAAAAGTGGTTTAAAATTTTCAATCGAGTGGATATTCAAACGCAGCGCGACATAAAAAAAATTTGTAGAATTGAGAAATAAAACTTTTGGAAAGTTCAAGAGAATCTCGTAGAACACGCACAGTAGTGTTTTTAAACATGTACTGTAAGCGCGTTTTTAACTGGTATAATAACCCATTTCAGCTACTGAACCAGCGAACCAGTACAGTTCAAGGAAGTGCCGCGGAAGGTTACGTTTTTCGAGAATACCCCCGACTATGGGAACACATAAAAAAATACGAAGTCGGAACGATAGAAGATGGACTAGAGAAACTCAGGTGAAAAAAATGGAAATTGATTTTGTAGCATATTACAAATTAGAAACATGCCAAATAATTGAAATATCTATATAAATATTTTGTTTTTAATATAATAATTAAAACGCCTAAATATATCTTTCAACGTTTAAAGTATCAACTGAAATTTTATAATAATTAGTAAGCTTAGTTACAAAGACAATCCAATTTGGTTAAAAGTTATTCATAGTATTAGTTTTTGCTTTGTTTTTGTCTCATAGTTTCCTAGATAAATAAGTATTACAAGTATTATAAGTTTTTAATAAAGAATTGTCACCATCATAAATATTATTTTATTTTCATCTCTAGATATATGTTTTATGTATTTCTTCTTTTGTCAAGATCTCAGAATATTTAAAAATTGAGGACGAAGTTTCTGGCTCCATGCTGAGGCCTTCGTTAATTCTGAATTTTTGGAGGAAAAGTATAACTCGTATGACACTAGCGCATTCCTAGAGAGAGTTTGAACTGTAGTAAATATTGATTGGTCATTGTTAAAGTTGTTTTGTTTTTGAAAGATAATGGAGGACTCAGTGTGGATTCCAAAATGTCGACTCGAAATCAAGAAAAAACGGCAGAAAAAGTATATAAATATCTATGTTTAGTTACTGGACACACTGTCAAAACACTATAAAAGAGAGATGTTCTTCTGTTGGAGGCATACCCAATAAAAAGCAAACACGGCTGATTCTAATTTTACAATAAAATATAAAAGCTACTCCTTTCCTAGAAAAGTCATTTGGAATGTCTCAAATATTGGAATAAAAGACACAAAATATAGGCGTTACTATTGAATTTTACAAACTAAGAATGATTCTGTAGCTAAAATTTCATTAGGCTCGTCCGGTTTTAAGTAAGGGCATTTATACATTTTAAAGTTTAAATTACAGGACCGTGTGTAACTAGTGTTCAAAGAATTACCAAGCATCTGTTCTTATTGATATGCTGGGATGTCATCATCCATTTAACCAGTCTTCAAGGGCTACCAATTATTAGCTTCTAGAGATATGTTGGGATGACTTCTTTCATCCAAATGAGTGATTCCAAAGGGTTGCCAAGTAGCAGCTCTTGTCAGTATGTTTGCATTATTCATAGAAATAAGTGGTCTTCAAGTATCGGCCCTTCGTAGTATATTTGGATGACTTCATATAAGTCAGTGATTCTGAAGAGCTATCAAGTGGCAAGTCTTTAGCTAATAATTGAAATTTATTTTATTATTAAATTTAAGACATCTAAAAGTCTAAACTGAGAAGAAAACTAACAAGTTACCAATGTGGTACAAATATACCACACGTTTCTCTCTTCTTGTAATATCATGGTATTTATACTAAATATATTGTTTACTCTTTATATATGTAGATTTCACATAACATATGGTCGAGGAAGCAGTTAAGTTCATTTCGTTCAATTCCTTTGTAGTTTGATATTTAGAGGTAGTAATAAGAATGACCATTCACGTGGTTAGTGGTGGTCACCTTGAATAAATCCAAAGTTTCTTGCATGCTATGAAATGTTACACTTGGTTTGTTTGGAACATCATCTTGAGTGAGAATGGTCTGAACAGGGTCTCCAAAGAAGAGGAATTAAAAACTATCCATTCAGAGACTGGTCTGTCATGTTTAATATTCCAGCAAGTACACACACTGTGTTTGTGTATAATAAAGACTATGTATTTAGTTTTACATTATATTTCAAGTCTCGTTATTTGATTTTACATCATTTAAGTTATTATTAGACATAATATTACTTCACAAACTATATCTTGAACGAATCTCCTGTTATCTATCGGACCTCTCCAATAAAGCTCTAATGTTAATTCACTTTTATTTAAATATATCACACCACTACCTATATATCTATTTATGTGGTAAGTATATAATATCTTCTTTTTTCCATAGCACAGAAGAAAAAAAACAACTAGGAAGTGATCTTCTAAGTAACCATTATTAGCCCTTTTGAAAGGTCCAATACAATACTGAGTTAACCCTTATAATTATAAGTTGGTACATATATATACTAAAATATGTACACTAGAAAACGTACAGGAAATCTAGATTATAGCCTATAGTTTTAACTTCAGTTTTCTTTTCAACAGAGGGTTTAGATCCAAAACGTATACTAGGATCTAATCACGCTTTTTAAGAGCGATGTTCTATGTCTTGGAATTACACCCTTCATTAATGATCGTGGTCAGTCTAGTGTCCATGATTATGCACTATTGCCCAAAATCATAATTTCTATCTTAAAAAGCTTCTGCGATAGACAATGGGGTCAATCTCAATCCTTGCCTTTCAAGATCTTGTTTAAGCAGACCAAAGACACAAAAGCGTATTAGAACTCCACTGAGCGACATGACAAGCGTGTGGTTGTAGTGGTTCCAATATATTTGGCAGTCATTTTCATGAAACCAGTCGTTGATTTCGACACCTACAAACTTGTAAACCTTCGTCAACTTCAAACCCTTGTTTACTTCTTGTTAACGGCACCAGAAAATATGCCCATCTATATCACAATAGTTTTCTGGGTTGTTAGATACTCTTTACTAACCACAGCCTTCACTTTGTAAATTGGCTTGGGTTGTGGTTTTGAAGTCAGGCGTAAGGTAAACTTTCTTTGCCCCCTCCCCTTCTTCCCCAAGCCTTTTGTGAAATGACACTCCTGACACCCGTAGCGGTGCTGCATTTTAAAAGATCATTCTTTCACCGTTAACCAAACATATAGATGCTAAACTTATCGTTGTTGGTGCCATTGTTCGTACATGTGGCAACATGATACTGTATTAGCATATGCAAATCGATTTTATAAAGTTTGATTAACCTCCTGTATTTGTACAAGTTTTTGTACCATAATATTTGCATTAAGATATATGTGTAAAATGAGATTTTGTTAGAGGAGCAAAATTTGGATCTGAGTGCAGTCGTTTATTTCATTATATCACATTGATATTAATTTTTACTGCACACTATTTCCACTTAGGTAGATTTATGCAGTTCTTATTCTTGAACATAAACGTTTTGCCAGTTCTAAAAGTAACATTTATAGATCGACAGTTACTCGTAAAATTCTTAACCAAAAGGATTTAAAGCAGAGTATTTCTAAATTTGGAAAAAAAAAAAAATCACATTATTGTAGCTTTGACACTATTTTATTTTCTGGAGAATTATCAACTTTATTATTATCATTCTTAGTAGATGCATTGGGAAGCAGTTTAGTATATTATGGTAATTTATTTTTGTTTTTCATTTTTAAAGTTACGTAGCTTAATGCGTTTATAGTTTCAAAAAAGGCTTTTTCAGTGATTGCTACATCAAACTATTCAACAATCAAATACTTTATCAGAAAACAAAAATATGATTTTACTAAAATAACGAAATTACAAGACTATGATAATCGTAAACTCATTGTACACTAGAGGCATTCATAGTAAAAACCAAATATATTTAGAACCTTTTTTTGTTTTTGTTTTCTTGTTTAGTAACATCGAGAAAAAAGTTGTAAAGAGTGATATTTTAATATTTTAAGAAATGGAGAGCTTGATGTTCTGATTGGAGACACTGCAGTCTTGGACTACTACCGAGGAAATGAACTCGGATGTAACCTTCAACTATTAGGAGACCCTATTTTCGAAGATGCCTATGCAGTTGGAATGCAACAGGGATTCCCGTTAAAGGTAGTTTAACATAGAACGGAGAGGTTAGAGTTTGACATAATGATGAAAATGTGTAACCACAAAGTTGAGCTTGCATATGAAATTTACTGTTTTAGAAAATCACGAGTTCTTCGATTTCAAACAAGGGTAACTAACTCCTCACAATATGTTTTAAACAATTTTAGGGAGTGGGGGTATCGTGATGGGCTATGAAATGAAGGTGATAAGGCTGAATAAGTTCCGCACTTCCAACTGTTACCGGTAGGACAGCGGTAAACGTTTATAGGCTTACAACGCTAAAATCCGAAGTTCTATTCTAACACAGCAGATAGCCCAATGTGACTTTGCTCTAAAATAAACAAATTAACAGTGTGTTTGTTTGTTATGGATTTCGCGCAAAGCTACACGAGGGTAATATACGCTAGCCATCCCTAATTTAGCAGTGTAAGACTAGAGGGAAGGCAGCTAGTCATCACCATCCACCACCACTATTGGGTTACTCTTTTACCAACGAATAGTTGGATTGACCGCCACATTATAACGCCCCTACGGCTGAAAGGGCGAGCATGTTTGGTGTGACGGGGATTCGAACCCGCGACTCGCAGATTGCGAGTCGAGCGCCCTAACCACCTGGCCGTGCCGGGCCACAAATTAACAGACTTTCAACTATGTGCGCGTTATAAGAGTGACAGTCAATCCCGATATTTGGTGAGTGCTGCTAGCTAACTGCCTTCTCTCTGGTAAGTAGTTCAAAATTAGGAACGGTTATAAATGAATCCTAGGGGGCCTCTTGTCCTAACCATTTAGCCCACATGTATAGAAGGTGTTGTTCAGGGGGAATATTCTTCAATTCTAGACGGTTGTAGAAAACTCACATCTAACGACGAAATCGATAATTAGAATGTCAGGTTATTCCCAATAAAATAGTTGCAAAAAAATTGAAAAAAATATATAAACGAAATCTTGAAGGGTTCAGCATGGTTGTATACACGCGATAGATGCATGTATACCTTACAAACTCAACAAAGACCGTTAATTATGTGGTTTAAAAACTCAGTGAAAATAACGAAATATTTGTTTGTTTTGTTTCATGCCGGTTATGTGTATGAGTTAATGTATGTGAAAACTAAGATTTATGTATTTATCGTCATATCTTAAGCACCACGTGATTGTATAAAATAATCCGGGAGATCGAGTTAGCTAATCTTATTTTTACAGAAATGAAGAGAACGATAATCTTTTGTGTCACGTGATAAAAAAAAAGAATGAAAATGTGATATTTACTTATATAGAGTGAAAACATTCAAGATGACGGGACAAAGCAAACGAAAACTTATTATTAAGACTTCGTTTATTTTCCGTTCTCCATGCGCCATTGTTCGTATGCTCACTTCCTGCTCCGAGTTAAATGTGTAGTATTAAGTTAAATACGTAATCACTGATGATACAATACCCTTTAGAAATGAACGTAAATGAATACTAAAAGATATTTGTATATTACAGGATGCAGTATCGAGTTTGATTCTTCAGTATAATGAAGCTGGCTACATCGACCAACTACAACAAAAGTGGTATGGAAGAGTTCCGTGTTTTCAAGAATCAGTGCACGGATTAACCAAGCCCATGGGCCTGAGTGTGCGCGCAGTTTCCGGTGTGTTTATAATGCTGAGCGTAGGCCATCTGGTGGCCATTTGTACGTTGATCCTAGAACATTTAATATTCCGGTACACGGTACCGGTACTGCGAGAAAAGCCTAAGAACACCGTGTGGAAAAGCCCGCACTTAATGTTTTTTAGCCAGGTATGTCTCTTAGGTTTTTAAGATATGTTTTCATATCTTAAAAATCAGTGATTAAACACTGTAATATAGGCCAAACTATAATGTTGTCATAGGCCCTGATGATGGTAATTGTGTTACCGAATCTATTCGACTGTAACTAATGACAAAGATTTTATCTTTCATTGTGACAAAAAAAACGACGTTTTTTTGTTTGTTTGTTTTTACTCTTAAACACTGTAACTTAAAAACTTGCATTCTTGCAGTAGAAATATATATATATATATTTACATTAATGGATATCATACTTGTAGTTGAAATATATAAATAGATATATTAATGGGAATCCTAAAGCCTTATTACTCGCCTGATAGGGAAACAAACTTTTTTCTGAGTTGTTAAATAAGCAATATAAATGTTATTTGTGCTTAAAGAAACCTGTATTACGGATTAATTTAGTAAAATCAAGTTCTAGACAACACATTAAATGTATCTACCTCCAACAAGTCATTTTTGACCAAAGACCAAATCCTTTTGGTGATTAGTAAAATCCCATAACTTCCTCCACGACCTTATTTATAATGTCCGTATTTCTGCGATAGCAAATGTGAAAAAAGGCATTATTTATCTTAAACAAAATTTATAAAAGACTGAGTATAATATCTATGTAAATTGTGATATTTGGTGAGTCACATCCGGCATTTGTCTTAAGCAAGTCTTGTCTTACAAGTGAAGAAATACGAAATCCTATATATTTGCGTAGCCAAATACGTACATGTACTCTTAAAATTTATTGTGTTAACACAGAAATGAACATATACAACTTAACAGTATATAGATATTTGTATTAATCTGCAGTGCTGTAAAAAACCTACCAAGTTTTAACGGATAGAACTTAAAAACCTCGAAATATTCGTTACGATTTACTTGAAACTTAGGAAAAACTATAAATTTATTCTAATTGTATTACAATACCAAACCCTATTCTCATCTATAGGTAGAAATATATTTAGAGGAACGTTCTTAAACTCAACTTTAAATGACAATTTACTTGTTCCGAACTAAGCCAGGAGACTTTTTTTGTTGTTGCCGAGTAGTGGGTCAGAGGTAAGGTCGATGACTTGTAACACTAAAAATCTGGGTTCGATCCCTGCTATAGGCACAGTGCGTATAATCCATTGTGTAGCTTTGTTTAGTAACAAACAACCTGTTAATGTCTAGTGAAATGAAGCGGATAATACGTTTTTGTTATTTTTTGCGTGATTCATTGCTGTTTTCTAAGTTTCAGTTGGTTTTAGATGTACCAGTTATTTTCAAGATTCACTTATGAGGTCCTGGAGAGTAACAACTAATTAGTTATTTTTATAATCTTAAATATGTTTCGTATCGAAGATGTAATGTGACTATATCGGCTCTTCTAAGGGAAGATGTGTGAAAAATAGAGATTACAACTTCTTTCCTGGGTTTAAGAAGTATTGCTTAGCTAACTGAAAAGCATTAAAACCTATTTTATACATAGCGTGACGATTACTTACGGAATCAGCATAATAGTATTTTTTATCTGATGAGAAGAAAAATGAAACAATATTTTGAAATGCTACCTGCTGTTTAAAGCAACTCAATTTTATAAAATGACTCAAACATTAATAATAATGGGGTGGTAATAACTTGGAATAATAAGTAACAGCTTATAACCAATAGTAGAATGTTGTGAGATACTGAAAGTAATAATAAAATGGTAGCCATTTTAACAAAAATTTATATTTATTTATTTCCTCTATTGAATGTCGAGAAATGCAAAAGCTATTGTCTTTCTTATTCTGCAAGCTCATAATATGTTCAGCGACATAGTGACTCGAACCTTACACCCTCTATCCTGGTAAAATAACCATTTTACCATGCCCTGTTGGCCACTAAACTCCACTTCTAATATATATTTTTTAAATTATGATTAATTTTCTTTCTTTGTGAAACTGAATTTTTTTGTTCCTCACTTTAAACGCACTTAATATATCTTATGAGCGACAACCAAAAGCTTAAAACATCGCCCAAATTGTTATGAAATTATGCATTTGAAAGCATTTTTTTATCGTTAAAAGTTAAGTTTCCCCGTTCTTTCACTACTTCTTTTGTAGACAAACAACTTCCCAATGCCAAGTTTATTTTAAGATTTCCAATAAAAAAAAGTAAACATGGGTTAATATTTCATAATTTATCTGCAACTTGGGGATTTTTGAAGAAAACTCGTTCTTTAAGGTAGCACAAAATTCAGAAAAAAATTAGTTCATAAACTTCGAAAAATCTCGGTCAATTTGTGGTATACATTTCTATGTAAGAACTATATACATTTGCTGTTATATTAAAGTTTTTCTTCATTACCCATTCAAGCCGTCTCCAGCCATTATTATATACAAGCCTATGCTACTTTCATTCTTTATCTAACACATCATAACGCAAGCAGGCTATTATTTTCAATTAAGAGAAGCATTTAGTTCAACTCTCCAAAGATTTGGTTAAGCTATGCTATAAGCCCTATAGAAAAGCCCCCCAGTGGCACAGCGATATGTCTGCGGACTTACAACGCTAGAAACCGGGTTTCGATACCCGTGGTGACCAGAGCACAGATAGTCCCTTGTGTAACTTTGTGCTTAACAACAAGCAAGCAAACCTATAGAAAGGTGAGGTAGTCTAGACAGAATACTATAAAGATAGTTTCTATATACAAAAAATATATTATTTACAATTCGTTTCGTTATTGTAGTGTTTGATTTTAACGCCCGTACAGCCAACACTAAAAATGATCTTAACAGTTTTAACTCTTTTTTTAATATATTTTACTTGTGAGATAAAATGTTTCTAGAGTACAGTTTAAAATCAATTCGACAAAGCTATAACTTTGTTTAAAACTAGTTAAACGCATGCGTGTAAAATATTACGTGCATGCCAAAGCTATCAAGGAATTTGAAGTTATTTAGCATTTTCAAGTCCAACCAGGGAATTAAACAATGCTGTTACAATTGATTGCTTATGTACAACAGCAACTCAAGTAATTATAAACTCTTCAGATTCTGTATTATAGTAGACACGTGACTTTCAAATATTCTTACTAAATCTGTTTATATATATGTTATTATGTCGGTGAGTTTTTGGCACATGTGAAGATAAAAATTTGATTTATAGAACTCTCTCTTTTTCATTTAAATATAACCCTAAAATTTTAGTATAGTTATATTAAGATTATTTAGCAAAATCGGTTTCAAAAAACTTGTCTGAACATTCGACCCCCCCCCCCAGACTTACAGCGCTAGAGTCTGGGTTTAGATACTCGTGGTGGGTAGAGCACAGAAAGCCCATTGTGTAGCTTTGTGCTTAATTACAAACAAACACATTTATTTATTCAATTATACTTTGTAATTGCGCCCCCCCCCCGCACAGTGACACGGCAGTAAGTCTGAAGGTTTATAACGCTAAAAGCTGGGTTACGATACCCGTAGTTGGTACATCACAGATAGCCCATTGTGCGGTTTTGTGTTTGACAACAAACAAACAAACTTGTCGTAAGACAATAGTACTAGGCCTATTACAATTTTAACACTGCATTCTTTATCTAAGGGGCTAGATAAATAATACAAAAGGACAAATTAAATATAATATATAATACTAAATAACACACCATCATTAAAGAAAAAGTTGCTTCACAGATGATAAGAACTTTGTTTGTTTATTTTTAAGCACAAACCTACACTACACAATAGACTGTCTATACTGTGTCCACCACGAGTATTGAAACCATGTTTTTAGATGTACTCCTGGTCTACTAGGGAATGGAGGTGGAGCTAGGTGATTAGAATACAGTAAACTAGAAAATAGCCTTGTCTATTGTATAATTTTTTACAGGTTTCCAAACAGATATGTTAATTATAGTCACATTTTTATTACAGTTACTATTTGTTAAGTAATGGGCTCTACGAAACGTTAAGGTAATTTTTTTTTAGAAAACAAGTCGTTTAGTAAGCTTAAAAGTTGTGTTACATTTATGTCTGTTCATACCACTAAGAATGAAGATGAAACTTGTGACAGTTCGTTGTTCTTAGGTTTAGTAAAGTTGTGTTACATTTATGTCTGTTCATACCACTAAGAATGAAGATGAAACTTGTGACAGTTCATTGTTCTTAGGTTCAGTAAAGTTGTGTTACATTTATGTCTGTTCATACCACTAAGAATGAAGATGAAACTTGTGACAGTTCATTGTTCTTAGGTTCAGTAAAGTTGTGTTACATTTACGTCTGTTCATACCACTAAGAATGAAGATGAAACTTGTAGAAGTTCGTTGTTCTTAGGTTTAGTAAAGTTGTGTTACATTTATGTCTGTTCATACCACTAAGAATGAAGATGAAACTTGCGACAGTTCATTGTTCTTAGGTTCAGTAAAGTTGTGTTACATTTATGTCTGTTCATACCACTAAGAATGAAGATGAAACTTGCGACAGTTCATTGTTCTTAGGTTCAGTAAAGTTGTGTTACATTTATGTCTATTCATACCACTAAGAATGAAGATGAAATTGTGACAATTCATTGTTCTTAGGTTCAGTCTGTAACTGCATCAGCTATTCCGCATTGGCTAAGTAAAGTTGTTTATCTTGTTAAAACCATCTCTGTTCTTGTTGCTGTTTTTGTTTTCGTCAGGTTCAAAGACCTTTGAACAACAGTGAATTAAAGTCACAGCATAATGTTATAAAGTTTTATTTCCTATTGCAATTAAGAAACAAAACTAGTCGTTTGTGTTGAATAAATAAGAAGAAAAGCAAGTCTGCCTGTTTAAATATACGGTTGTATTAAGTTAATGATTTGTTTGCTGGCTTGTAAACTTTCTATTGTGAACACTTTCAGTAAGATGGTATAACCTATACATGAATAAAAAGTATGTCTTCAAGCTTTTTCTGGTGCATTGACTATTCCATTTTACTTGCATATTTTCAAGTGAAATATTACTAAACAGGTAAACAAAACAACTTCAACAAAGTCTGAAATCAATAATATAAGAGTCTTTTCAAGTTTCCTTTATATTCTAAGAGTGAATATTTCAAGGAAATGTAGATGTTTTCATAAATATCGCATTCTGTTTCTTGTTTATTTTCAGAAACTGCACCGCTTTATCAACACTTTCGGGCTTGTGTCCCCTCACCATTCGATCAAGGAAATAGCCAATAATCTAAAACAAGGCCAGATTTTTAGTTTGTTTCAGAAAAGTGTGAAAAGGGTAAATATCTTAATTCATCAACGTATATAATAGAAATTAAACACGAACTTTTTAACGATGTTTCCATTCACAAGATTTGAGCAATTTAATTGATAATAAAGATTCCAATTCATGACGTTATATAACAAAAGTTGAATACAAAATTTTAATGATGTTTCTATAGTCATTAGATTTGGGAAATATTAGTGAATTTTGACAATGGAAAATAACTCTAAATTTGTTATAAGTTATATGTTCCTCTTTGCCAGTTAAGATTTTAGAAATATCAAGTTTACCTTTATAAATATGCACTACCGGCACTTGTGTTTAAAATTTTAAAGTTTTTATTGTGTAAATACAAAACGTTGTTTTTAATTATTTATTATAATTTAAAAACAAGTTTACCTCTTCGATAAATATAGTGAGTTCTAAGAGCTAACAAATGCAATTAACACCATTTTATTTGCAGATACATTTAAATAGCATTTCTTATAGGTTTTTGCCTTCCAGTGATTCAGCGTTAAGTCTGAAGGCTTATATTGCTAAAAACAGGATATCGATATTCCTGGTCGCTCAGCACAGATAACCTATTGTGTGACTTTGTGCTTAACAATAAACAAACAAATTTATTTTGGGCTACTACCAGTCCATTCTACGTCATGAATTATGGTTTTAAACGAAAGATGTCTTGGAGAAAACCTGTGGCATATGGTTGCTAGTTTCATAGAAATGGCCCGGCATGGCCAGGTGGTTAGTTGGCTCGACTCCCAATCTGCGGGTCGCGGGTTCGAATCTCAGTAACACCAAACTTGCTCGCCCCTTTAGTCGTGGGGGGCGTTATAATGTGACGGTCAGTCCCATTATTCGTTGGTAAAAGAGAATACCAAGAGTTGATAGTTGATGGTGTTGACTAGCTTCCTTCCCTCT